CAGTAACAAAGTTTAAAAACTAAGAAAAAAATGACCGTGGGTTTGTGTATTCCCCATAAGTGTGCCTCTGTCACTTCCTGGTGGTGGCTTTCTAGACAAGCGACTTAGCTAGGAAACAGGACTAAGTACCTTGGGTGAGGGGATAACAGAGAGGGTAGGGGCCTGGCGGGGTGAGGGACTCTGTCCTACGCTGGGTGACTAACATCCCCGACTGAGAGCGTTCCAGGATGCGGACACCCCACCTTCAATCCGGGACAGGAGTTGGTAAAGGCAGGCGAGCATGGCAACCCTTTAGGGCCTGTGGAACAAAGGAGGAGGTTTAAGAAGCTGATGAGAAAGAGAAGCAGGTGGTTCAGGGCTTGGGCCGGGAAACAGCCCGTGTTCTCCTGCAGGTGGACACTATCACTGCCGTCAGCAGATCTGGGGGCTGCCTGGTACCAGCAGTCAAGGGCTTCCCATTCACGTGGGGTCACGTGGGAAAGTAGTTGCACAATGAGACCTGTTCCTACCCTGTCATTCCAAACATCACTTAGTAGGGCGGGTTGCTTGGGAAGGAAGTGAGGCGCTCATGACTCCCCCACGTGTCTCACTTCTAAGAGTCTGCCTGCCTTTAGGACAGGATGCTCCCGGGATGTCCTCCTCTGAAGATAATAAATACCCACAGCTTTATGATGCTGTTGTCAGTCTTAATTATGGGATTGCAAATGTGCCCAGAGGCGCCTTTTGACAAGCAGATCACACACATCAAAATTGTATCATCTAGAATTCTTTCTGCCTTAGTGGTAGGCTCCACCTCAGATGGATGTCACTGACCCTTCCCAAACTATTTTTCTCTCATCAGCAGGACTTGGGTAGGACCCCAAGTGGAGCTTTTAGGAATACTGAGTCACGCGACCACTTCAGTGTCCATAAATTCACTTCATTGCTTCTACTCACCACCCTTTCCACTGGCCACCCCCTGACCACAGGCATTCCTTAAGGCATCCCCTAGATTGTTTTTTCCTAATGCAAGGATAGACTTTTTTCAAAATCATCTTGAGGAGCATAGATCAGGCATCGATGTATAATATGTCTGACGTTTTATTCCTTATATTTTTCTTATTTTATAATTTTAAGTCAATGCTCTTCCTTTCGCCTGGGGGTGAAAGGCAGGGGAGAGAAGGGTAAGTCTTTAGGTAAAGGAGAAAGAACGTTCCTAAAATATTCTGCTCCTCTTAGCTCTAGGCAGCGGTTGCCAAACTTAAGCTAGAAAGTTAGGGAAGGGACAAAGTCCTTTTAAAAAAAATTATATTTATTTAAAGCAGTGTTTTAAAATGTGTCATTAGAATTATTCTTAGAAAATCAAGGGGCAATTTTTATAACATTGATTTTTATTTGAAAGAAATGTAAAAAGTGTTTACATTAAAAATGAAAGAAAGAAAAGAAAATCAATTGGCAAGAGTTTTCTAAATGTTCCCAAAGCACAGTAAGGGCCCATGGCTTCCATACAAATGAGACAATCACTTAGATTTATGATGACTATGTGGTTAAGTCAGTGGGAAAATTGGCCAAAAAGACAGCGCTGACCCCCAAAGGGCAAGAAAAACAAGCGAAGGCTGGTCACACCCCACCAAGAAGCTTCTCCAAATACTGGTTTGCTCACAGTTTCAAAGATTCTTCTATTCTGACTTGTAAAATGGTTTCGGGATAAATAATTTGTAACAGCTGGTCACCAACTCACACACTCCCAGAAGGCCCACCTCGCTGAGACCGACGATAAATAATAGATCCTCGGCTCTCGGCTCTCGGCTCGGGGGGAGCACAGGCTCCATGTGCTGCCCATCACCGTGTCTCCCTTCTGCCGCTCAACAGTCACAGGCTGACGCCACCCTGACTGGCATGTGGTTCCAGTCACAGACCTGCCGGGGTGGGCGCCCCGTATTTCTGAGATAGAGTTCGCTGATAGGATTACGGGAGCGTCACCAAATGCAGTCACTGCGCAGGGAGCCCGTGTCACGTTACTTTTGAAAATATGTTAATCTAGAAACACCATCCACTGGACACAAAACCCACCCACACCTGGCCTCCGGGTGTGGCCTCGCGCACACGATCCGGAGACATCTCCTATTTGCTTTCATGGGTAAATAGAAATCTTGAGCTAGGAATAGAGGGGGAGGATTTGAAAATGCAAACAGTCAAACTAAGTGTTTTTGATGCTCTTAAAAGATAAATGACATGCAGATCCCATCAGCAGTCCCCTAAGTATCTCCACAGCCGATTTCTTACAGTTGAAGGAAGGCAGGAGCAGCAGACGCACCGGACTCTGCAGCTTAGTTTTTGTGCTCTTGCTCCACTGCCGACCACCGCCCGCTACTGAAAAAAAGGAAGATGGTTTTGAGTTGAAGGACTGCTCCTCTGTGTTGCAAGGCCCTGCGACTGGTTCCCTCTGGGCGACCTGAGCCCCTGGGAGGTGAGTTTCTGTCGCTGCTGCCATTGGCCTGCCAGCTGTGTTGACTGAGGGGGGTGCCGGATGTCAGGTTGGGAGCAGGTTGCTGTATGCAGGACAAGCGTCCTGGGTCACACATTTAAAGCTCCTGGCTGTCGTCTGTTCACGCCCTGAATGGCCCATGCACACAGGAGGAAGGAGAATTTGGATTGTTGGCGCAGTGCCTCCGGTCAGCTCCAGCTTTCATTGTAGTCAGCGGGTTGGCGTTAGAAGAGGGGGATCAGGACTAAGAGTGTTAGGTGGCTGGTACTTGGATGCAGGGAGGCAGGGAAGGATGGGAGGGTACAATGCCTGCTTTCTCCTTTGGGTCATGGACAGCCTGTCTGGAGGCTGGCAGCACAGAGCAGAGGGTACTGGGGATGAGAGGAAGAGATTGTCACTGGCACACGGCCCCCTGGTTTTCCTTTGAAGATGGAAACAGGTTCCAATATAGAACATTTGTATTGGGCTTAGTGACTAGAACAGACATCACCTACCAGCCAGAGACAATGATTCACTGACCATCTTTGGCTTCTAAGCACTAAGGATTTTTGGGATTTCCATTTATAGACATTCTCAATCGATTCCATCAGATTCCCAGCGATCGCAGCCACGGCTATCTTCTCTTAAACTGGCAGATGAGTCAGCACTTGGGCACCAAATTCAGACTCCTAATCAAGTGAACCACACAGGGTACAGTGGTCAGCGTGGTGAGCACCTGTGTTCATTCCTGGCCGGGCCCAGCTGCAGCATCTCCCAGGGCTGGGCCACTGGGTGAGCCGGCCTGTGTGCTCAGTGGTCACGCTCAGGGGGGTCTGTGAGCTACTGCTGAGCACATAATGGTCAGTCTAGCTGCATAAGCAGTCACGGCCCCAGATGTGTTCACCTGAACTCAGAAAGTAAATTGGGTTCTGTTGGATTCTGACCGGAACCTCTTTGAATGAACGTTGGGAGTCCAAGACAGAGCCTGGTAGCTTCGTGGGAAGATGTTCCAGTTCTTTCCAGCTACCTGTAAGGGGCCATTACAAGGCTAAGAATGTAGACTGTCCTTTACCAGGAAAAAAACTTTTGATATTTTGCATGCAAACAAAAAGAAAATAATAATAATAATAATAATAATAATAATAATAACAAAAAGCTGTTTTCCTGTATGCAACGGGAGAGTACCTTTGTGGTCTCTTTTTCTTAAGAATTCTAACAAAAGTTAAATGCTATCAGTTTCAAAGGAATAATATTTTAGGAACTAGGATCTGGTTAGAAGGGCTTGGAGCTCTGCCATTAGCACCTCAAGATACAAAGACACATGAGGATGCGCTTGGGGCTGTAGCTTGCCTGTGTCATTAAAAGTCCTGAAAAACTAGAATTCGTCTTTCGCTCTTCTCTGTAGGCATTTAAAATACTCTTTTCCCCCTCAAAACAATTTTTAAAAACTGAAATATATTTGACATATAACATTGTATAATTTTAAAGTTAATACATTCATATATTGCGATATGATTGCCACTCTAGTCATAATTAGCACTTCTATCAAGTTACATAATTATTCTTTTTGGTGAGTGGAATAATTAAGTTCTAGTCTCTTAAAAAGCTTGAATACATAATTGCTGTTGATATTCACTACACTGTGCATTAGATCTCTAGGGCTTATGTCGTTAAACTGGTAACTACTTGTTGTAAGTTTGTGCCCTTAAATCTCATCTACTCTATCCCTCCTTCGCCCCCTGCCCCCAGCCCCTGGTACCCACCATTTTACTCTGTTTTTACGAGTTTGGCTTTTTTAGATTCCACACAAAAGTGACATCAGACAGCCCTTGTCTTTCTCTGACTTATTTCACTTAGCATGATGTGCTCAAGGTCTATCCATGTAGTTGCAAATACCAGATGTCCTCCTTTCTCATGTCTTAATAATACTTCATTGTAATATGTCACATCTTTTTAATCCATTCATCCATCGATGGGCACTTAGGTTATTGTGAATAATGTGAATAAACATGGGGGTGCAGGTATCTCTGTGAGATCCTGATTCCATTTCCTTTGGGTATATACCCAGAAGTGGCATTGCTGGATTACATGGTAGATACATTTTTAATGTTCTGAGGAACCTCCTTACTGTTTTCCATAGGGGCTGAACCAATTTGCATTCCCACCAACAGTGCACAAAGGTCCCTTTTCTCCACATTCGCCAGCGCTTGTTATCTCTTCTCCATGACATCCATCCCACAGGTGTGAGGCCATATCTCAACGTGGTTTTGATTTGCAATTCCCTGGTGATTAGTGATGTTCAGCATCTTTTTATGCACCTGTTGGCCATTTGGATGTCTTAGACAATGAATTCAAATTAGTTAGTGATAGTTTTCACCATCAAACAATATATTCATTTACAAGTAGATTTTAAAAATAGTTTCAAGGCTCTTACCGAGACCATGTCTCTTGCATGCCACTTCTTCCTTTGTCCTTTAACTATTCCCATGGGTGAAGAGTACCTGCCTTCTGCACTGGGCATCCTTTCAAAACCAGGACAGAGAAGGTGGGAGGTCGTATGTTAGCCGAGCAAACAACGTTTAATGTTATACAACTGAGAGGCCCGTCAGTGATGTGTGGACTAAGACAGATTGATAAATATGTGGTCATTAACCAGATTTAATGAATAAAATTTTTACCACTCCCTTTTTCTCCTGTGTATAGACCATTGATTGTGTTAATGTAGCATTTAGGATGGCTTAGCGCCTGCTGAGCTTTCTGCCTTCACGATTATCACTGAGTTGTTCTAAGTGAGAAGCATCCACTTTGTTCTGGCTCGGACACTGGGACAGCCCACTTCCACACGTTATTCTAATATATTTAACAACCAGGCTCTTCTCCTTTCGCACAGAACAGGACAGACAACGAAGACAGTCACTGAAAACCAGGAGCTCTGTTGGCATAACTGAGACCATCAAGGACGGGCACAAGGACAGAGGCCCGGCTGCCCATGGACAAGGCTGATTTCTCAGAGCGTAAGGCTTCCAAGCAACGGGAGGACTTCCCTGACGATGGGGGTTTCTCCCAAACTAAGCTACACGCTGATCACAATTTTTCCTCGGAAAACAACATCCTGGGTGTCTCAGATCAAGTGATTCCAACAGCAGAGGACCCTCAAGAAAGGGCTGCCCGTGAAGGGACGTGCAGAAATGCAAGCGCAGTCTTGACTCTGGGTAAAATGACTGAACACGCTGCCAAGAAAAAATCTGATGAAGAACAATGCTGCCTCCCAACTCTTCACATCCCAGCTAAGAAAGGGGACCGTTCAAAGTCAGACCTTTCTGATGTTTTACAGCATCATCTTTCCAAAGAGGAGCTTTTAAAAGGCCAAGGCAGTCATTGTGAAACTCTCCCAGAGGTCTCCAGTGCGGACAGTCTTGATGAAGCCATTGTTAAAAGTTTTATTTTGCGTTATGTTAAGAGTTTTTGGTCAAAAGAACCAACCCCAGAACTCGCTGACCAGCTCAACCCCCTGAGGGAGGATGACATGGGCAGTGAGCCCAGCTGTTGCCCCACCAGGACAGCAGAAAACACCTCTGAGACAGAAGAGCCAGTGGCTGCTGGAGACGGCAGCCTTCCACAAAGTTCCACTTTTCTAACTAAATCCAAGAGTCCAAGCAATAAACAAAAAGGCTGCCAAGAGCAGAAACTGCAGACAGAAAACACAAGATCAGGCCCTGGGTTCAAATATGCCCAAGTCTGTTACCAGTTCTCTGATCGCTCTAGTGTTGCTCCCCAAGGGAAAATCCCTAAAAATAATACGATTGATAAACCACTTCTAACAGATAAACAAGCCAGCTCTTCTCCTGAACTGAGAGCTGGGTTAGCTCTTGGGCAAGAAATTCCAGAAGGCATGGCTAGGCCAGACCATGCTGAGAAGGAAGAGCAGGAAAGGAAGACTGGGGACCCCTCCCAGCAGACAGAGGTAAGAGAAGTCCCCTCCGGAAACAGGCCTGGGCTGCTCCTCTGTGCCAGAGCCGGTCTCTGGAAGGTGACTGACACCTGTTCCAGGTCTGAGGTTCTTGTTCCAGTTCTGAGCGAGTTCTGTGACCTCTCAGAAGACCACTGGGTGCCTCATGAGAAGAAGCAGGGGCTGGAATAACAATAACACATCATAGAATTAAATCCAAATTCTCCCACCTAGAATTTGAGTTTCCCCATCTTTTTTTTAAAATATGTTTTCATTGATTTCAGAGAGGAAGGGAGAGGGAGAGAGAGAGAAAAACATCAATGATGAAAGAGAATCTTTGATCGGCTGCCTCCTGCATGCCCCTGTCTGGGGATTGAGCCTGCAACCGGGGCATGTGTCCTGACCTGGAATTGAACCGTGACCTCCTGGTTCATAGGTAGATGCTCAACCACTGAGCCAGGCTGGCTGGGCTTCTCTAGTCCTTTCATGTTGGAGAACTGGACTTTATAGGTTAGATACCCATCATGTCACTGAGACATTCATAATCGTCAGTCTGGTGAGACCACAACCGTTTCCAGTGGTTCTCAACCTGTGGGTCTCGACCCCTTTGGCGGTCGAACGACCCTTTCACAGGGGTCGCCTAAGACCATCCTGCATAGCAGATATTTACATTACGATTCATAACAGTAGCAACATTACAGTTATGAAGTAGCAACGAAAATATTTTTATGGTTGGGTCACAACATGAGGAACTGTATTTAAAGGGCCAGAAGGTTGAGAACCACTGGTTTAGCTGCTGGCACTGGCCTGTTTCTGAGCTCTGTGTGCTGTGGGCGATGGGCAGCCCCTCAAGGCGAATCACTCTGGAATGTAAACTCCTGTCCCGCCTGTGTGAGCGGAAAGGGTCGTGTCCTGGTAAAAATGGCTGTCTTGACACCCGTTATGGAACGTAATGCATACTATTTTATGTTCTTCTCTAGGGTGTGGCTACCATGAGTTTGGTGTCAGTGAGAGCAACAGACCTGGTGAGAAGGCCTCATGGGGCTTGTGGTCTAGTTTTAGGAGAAATGTTTGCGTGTTCCATATAATAGCATCAGACACGATAGTATTAACAGCTAATGTGTACTCAGTGCTTACCACATGCCTGAGTCTAAGTACTTAACACTTACTCCTCATAAGGACCCCAGGAATAGGTTACTGTCCCCACTTTCCTGCTGAGAACCTGAGAATGTGAGGGTTACTGTGATAAGTAATTGCCTGGGCCACCCACACACAGATCAGTGTCGGAGGTGATTCAGCCTTGATGCAACACGGGCTGCCTGGAGGACCAGAACCATCAGCCATTCTGAACAATGGCGTCCTTGATCACTATCAACAGTAACACTTTCTTATCCTTTAATTATGCAGATGAAGCCTGCAACACACAGCCACCAAGAACATCTCACAGGTACTAGCGTTTTTTCAACCTCTTTCATTTAGATACACGTTTAGAAAAAATTTTTAAATAGCAAATGGTGGTGATTGCCACCGACTTCCATTTTCAGGACTTAATAAATCTGCAGTGAACTTGAGATGAACGGTAGCCCAACTTATTCTCTCTTCTATAGGAACAGGATCCGAGACACGCCTTTGGAAGCTGTCATCAACCTCTCAGAAAGACCCTTCCTTGAGTTCTTCCATATTCCAGAAGATATCCCAAGGGAGAGAGATGTGCCAGAAGCTAAAAGAACATACTGATCAGCTGAAGACTAAAGTAATACCTTTAAAGATTATGAACAGTAGAAGTGAGCAAATTCAAATATAAGATACCATGCCACTCATGAAGTATTGCATTTTTTTCACTGCAGGTGCAAGAATTTTCCAGAAGCCTAGCACAGGACTCCCCCGGCTACGAGCAAGACGAGAGGCTGGTAATAAGTCTTTCCTGGGGAATCTGACACGGGAAAGTACAAGGGCTGCCCAGCACGGGCTTTCTCTGCAGGGGGCAGTGGATATGCTCGGGTGGAAATGTTTTGCCAGGGGATAAGGGCAGTAACCTGTGTCTATGGCTGAACAGCCCCCAGAGGCCTGGCGTTGGTCATACATATATAACTCCCTAGAATGCTAAATCAAATTGAATTAAGCATTAAATATGTCCTTAATAACACATTTCAAGCTGGTTATATGGAAACTAGTACAGAATTGTGCTAATGTTTATGAGATTTCCTCTTTCCCTTCACCCATCTTCCCATCCCCCACTCTCCTTCCCAAAGTGCTGAGGCTCAGGTCTCACTGATTATTTGAGGACTGGGGCTTTGTGTTACAGGAGCGAAAAGAGCTTAGAATTCCTCTATGTGCTCAGCCCTCTCTCTTTCTCGGGGGATCTATTACTTATGGCTGTTCACTGTTTTTCTTCACCGGTTGCCCCATAATAAATCCGAGACCAGGGCAGGTCCAAGAGACTAGCACACCAGCTGTTATAAAGGATCACAAAGCCCGTCCAGAGTCCATGGGTCCCAGGGGGTGTAGGTTATAAGAATTACCGGGATCTGGCAACTCAATATATAGTAACACTTCAAAAACTTAAAATTGATCCTGAAGCTGTGCTTTCAGATCAAAATCTTTGGGTTCCACATCCTTGCTGGTTGTACTTAATCAAGTCACTCATTTATGCTGTAACCACCACAGCCTTGTTCATCAGTGCCCGGGTCACCGGAAATGGGGGTAGAGCCTGGCAATAGGGCAAAAAGCTGAGACTGTGAGAGCCAGAAATGTGCAAAGTGGAAGATGTAGTCTAGGCCACTGGGTCAACCGCAAGACATGGTCACAAGTTCTGATGTAAAGAGCACAAGCGAAGCTCAGGCAGGCTGTGCTTCAGAGCCCAGACGGCACAAAAACTGGGAGGATCCGAACTTTAAGAGATGTTCCTTATTCATTCATTCATTCATTCATTCATTCATCATACTAATGAAATAACTAATTCATTCATTCAACAAACACTTATTGGGTGCTTCCCATGTCCCAGACTCTCTACCAGGCATTTGGAGATGATGAAACTATTTCTTTTTCTAGCGGCGGATAGTCTCCTAGGAACAGGTGGGTAAATAGACAAGTGACCCACAGCTTGAGAAAGGTTACAGGTGATGCTAAGGGTGGCAGAGAAGAGGCTCACCCTTGTTAGTCAGAGCAAGGCACTTTAGAGGGCTTCCTAGGAGTGACTCTGAGCTGGGTATTGTAGGAGGAATCTAGGTAAGCTTGACATCTTCATTCAAAGTTGTTAGCCTTCCCAAATTCCTCATTTTAGTCAGGGCTCTCACACTCTGTCCATCTCCCAAGCTAGACCCCTGATCATTGACTGTGAGATTTATAGAATCAGCGGCCTGGTAGGAACTAGATGGCCTGCTCCAATGGAGTAATTGAGAAGAGTTTAATAAGCCATCATTTAACAACAGTTAGGGACAGAGGAAGAACAGATACTCCAGCCCAAGGAGAGTAGCTGTAGCTGTAGGAGTAGCTGACAAGCTCTGTGGCTTTTGGTAGAGACACAGTTGGTGCATGATAATACCTGCAGGAGGAAATCAGGGAAACAAAGACCCCTACCTCATCCTTCTTCAGTTCCTCCCTCCTGTTGATGTCTATGGAAGGTCAGCCTCCTGGGTGGGGCACGGAGAAGGATGGAGGATGGATCTGGGGGGAGAAATGGAAAATATTTACCACACTTGCCTTTTTTAATACCCAATAGCCAATGTTTCCAAACTTCTTTATCCATTGTTAATAATAATAATGATAGCTACCCACTATTGAGTATGTACTATGCTCCTGACACGAAGCATTAGCTCATTTAATTTTCACAATATGAAAAAATTGAAGTTTAGAGTTCAAGTTCACTAAAATCATACAATTAGTAGGGGACAGAGTCTGAGCTTGAACCCTGGTGGACTGATCCTTTAACTCCTGATCCTTTTCTTGCCCTGGGGAATCTCTCTCTGATTCATCCTCTCCTCTCCATTTTCATGAGTGCTGCCTGGTCCAGGCCCCCCTGAGTACCCTTCAAGCCCGACTTCAGTCTCACCTCTTCCACTGAGCCATGGCAAAGTACTCCGATCCAGCCCAGGGCCAGATGTAGACATTGATCAGGGAATGTTTAGCGGCTGGGACTATAGGGCTAAAGTCTCTATACTTCCAGACAAGACCCTGACCTGCACGGTTTACACACGCACCTGTGTGAGGCTGCATGAGGTGACGTGGTGACATCTGAAAGACCCATTCCAGCTTGAGGCTAAACTTCCAGCTGTTCCTTCCTCATCTCACCCTCTAAATGCCACAGACTCAAAGCCAGGTCCTCTAAGCTCAGTTCCCTTGTAAGATCTATGTGGCATCAGACTTACTCCTTAGCGCTCTGCTTTCCTCCTCTATAAAACCGGGGTAATAAATCTACTTTGCAACATCTACAACACTGATGAGTAAGTTAAGTAAGAAAAGGAACAGAATGTATTCTAGAAGCTAAAAATCATTCTGCAAATATACAGGGTTATTAACGTCCCATCAAGAGGCTCCGAGTGGGTTCTGGGAGAGAAATCAGAACCACCGAACTTTTCAGCTTTGTGCTACGAGGGAGGGTGGTATGTGGAGAAGGCCCCTGTCTGAAATTCAGATGTCAGACTCCAAAACAAAACAATGGCCAGGAGAAGGATGACGGCTCTGTTTTGCACTCCTGTAGGGGAAACAACTCCATGCGCAGGGTTACATGTGAATGATGCCAGTGCCTTCTCTGCCACAGGAGCTGCAGAAACTGCAGGCCCATCTGGAACTGCTGAAGCAGGAGTTTGTGGCTGAGGAGCAGCTGACTTTGGAACAGCAAGTCCACAAGCCTAAATCCCCAGCTGTCAGTGACTATGACCCCAAAAGGTCAGGTTTAAACTGTGAGAGGTGGGAGGGTTGGAGAAGAGATCTCTTCAGGTGGGACTCGGATGTGGCTGCTGGTTTAGTGCCCGAGAGCCACGAAAGGCCCAGGAAGGTCTAGGGTCAGTAAAACCCCTGCCACCAATGAGTAGGTGTCACCGCATGCGAAAGACAGTGAGGAATTCCTGCTACGTGGAAGGTCCCGTGCTAGGTGATGACCAGATGGCGTGTCCGTAATGAACAGCTGTCTCCTGGCGGAGACAATGTGCCGCCATCTTGCATTTCGTGGATGTCATTAGAATTGGTTCTGAGACGCAGAAGGGCACAAGAACACCGTGGAAGGGCTCACAGTCTAACCCAGAGGCCCTTCCCTCTCCATGCTCCTCTGTCCTCTCCCTCACCCCCCTCTTGCCCTTATTTCTCCTGCCTGGTTCTTCTCTTCTGTCCCACTTCCCTCCCCTCACCCCCCCCCTTTCTTTCTCATTCACAGACCATTTCAAAGGGGCAGTGGGCTGGAGAGGATTGTTGTCAGGTTGGTTAATGTTGGGGTGAGGGGCCCACAAATCCTGATAAAGGGAAAATGTTAAAACTTAAGTGATTCCTCAGCAAATCCACATTAGAATCTTAGATGCATACTTACACTGAAGTTTCCAACTGGCCATTTTTATGGCACCACAATCCTCTTTCCAACCCAAATAGCTTTAAGATGTATTCCAGGAATCAAGGCTGGGATTGTTTCCATATAATTTCCTGCTATGAATTAAAAGAATCCATTCAGTGGGCTTAATATTCGTAAGCTCAGCTCTTTCTATTCCTAGCATTTTAACACAAATCATTCTTGATGCCAAAATAGTTTAATGGTTTATATTTTAGCACTTGCATCCTGAGGCTTTTTTCCCCCAAAGTACAATTTTACTTTTTCAAAAAAAATGAATGAAACCTCTGTCTACTGTTATTTCAATACCAACTAATTAGACAGCAAGGCTGGGGTTTTAATATTGATTTTCCCTCCAAAGCCTTTTTTAAAAAAGATCTCCATATGCTTTCCCTATTTGTTTAAGAACCAAAAGAGTAAGGATATTTATTTTCCAAGGAATCCCACTGTTGGCAGGGGTTTTAAAGACAGGCCTCTGTGCACATGAAGACCAAAGTTATGCAATCCAGGCCTTATTTATATCCCAGTTACACCCACACCGCCTGGCCCAGCATAAACCAACAGAGTCCCAACTGCAATTATATCCCATACACAGGAGAAGCTTTCCACACGGGCAAGCTCAGTAAACTCAGTGGGCAAGCGAAGCTGCTTGGTCCCAGGCTGGTCCTCCTGCTCTCACATGGGCGTAACCTGTCAATGAGCAGAACCCCATACCCTGGAGGGGCTGGTATGTCGAGAACCTTCTAAGCCCTGAGACCAAAGGCCATTGCAGATAGCTTTTTCTGTAGGGAAAGAATTCTGCAGATTCATCAGCTAATCGCTTGTTGAAGTCAACTGTTGCACTCTTATGAAAACCTTCTTATTATTGCCTTTAAAAGGTAAGATGCAAAAATAACTGTTTGGATTTAATGCATCTTGTTTGTTAGAATGTTGTCTGGAAGTTGTTTGAATCTTTCACACACACCAACACCCAAAACCAAGGGGCCAAGAAATGGGATTCTACCTCCATCAAGCCCTGGTATTATCGTCTTTGGTTTTACAGAAAAGATAAATTCCCTCAAAAATATCTTTTTTCCGCCTCCAAATCTGCATGTTCTCTCTCTCTCTCTCTCTCTCTTTCTCTCTCTCTCTCTCTCTCTCTCTCTCTCTCACACACACACACACACACACACACACACACCCTTTCTTCCTTCACTCACTTTGCGGCCTCTCCAGCCCCAGCTCTTCCCACGACCTGCGGCCTGCTTCAGCGTTTCTCTTCCTTCACATGTTCAGCCTCTCCTTGTCCGCTCTTCATTCTCTTCTGCCTGCCAGGGAAGAAGACATTTCCCCATATCTTATTTGATTACCAGTATGGTTTTTCATGCTGAGATCTTAGTCCCACCACTTACTGAACAGGCCAGCCTTTCCCACGGTGGAAAAAGCCATGTTATCGTATACGAAATCTCCATGGGTAACGGGACGGGTCTGTTCCATCCCACTGACCTAGGTATCTACGCCTGCGTCAACCACAGTTTAAATTACTGGAGTTTAGTATATATTCTGAAATGTTTCCTCCTGTTTAAACTTTCTTTAGCTATTCTTGCACTCTCTTATTAAAACTTTATCATCAGCTCACCAGATGTCCTTAATAAAATTCCATTAGAATTTTGTTCAGGATTGTGTTGAATTTACAGATTAGTTTGGGAGGAGTTAAAACCTTTGCAGTGAGTATTTGGGTCCAGGAGCTTGTTTTCTTCATGTAGATTTGACACATTTTTTTTGTTAAACTTGAGACATTGGAAGCACAGAAAGATTTAAGTGATTTGCCCAAGGATGCACAGCCAATGGATAGCAAAATAGGGATCAGAGCCCAGGCCTTTCAAGTGACACTGAAACAGGATGCCCATCAGGGCGGGTGTCCATTATGGGTCCTTTCTGAGGACAGACCATTTAATAACATAGATCAACGCCATGGTCAAGACCTGCTGTTACTGGTTAGAATGTTGACTGCATGCCCTCCACGATGCCTTCTGTTCATTTAGGAAAGCGGAAGGTGAAGTCTCCAGGATGGAGATGCTACTTGAAGATGTTGAAGGGAAGGTTGATGAAGGCAAACACACTTCAGCTGGCTCTCTTCCCGAGAGTTCTCCAACCCTCCCAGGTGGCCTGCCATCCGCATCCTCTCCACCCTCAGATGAGGTAATGCATAACCTACAGCCCAATTCCATGCCAGGAAACCCAGGTCCTGTGCATTTATAGAATACGCATTCATGGAATTACAAAATTCTACTTTAATATTTCATAAAATTTAACTTCCCAAAGTCCCATGCATCATATTATTTTCAATGGAACCAGCTTGTAAAAATTAAAAGCTATTTCAAGTTTTGGTTTTTAAAACCTCTTATTAGTTTAGGCTGCAACAATGTAGTTTAAACTGATGAACCGCTGAAGAGCTATTTCTTCTGGACGGATAGTAATATTTCTGTGGATCGTGCCTGGAAGAAATAATTTTTCTTTTTAATGGTTTTGTACTCGCTCTTCCAAATGAGAATGACACTCTCCGTGCAAGAACCATTTCCATGAGCCCACATCTGCATTTCCTTTCTCACAAGCTAAATTCTTTTGGATTGTCTGAAGATGCAATAGTAGGAATTCCAATCCATCACCACTGTCTTTCTACACTTTTTATTTTTTGTAGCCTCAACTATTGGAACATTTCAGACTAAATTCTGAGAAACTGAATTGTCTGGATAATTGCCTTAACTTGATTCTTTGGTTTCAGTCGGTATGTGAAGACACAGCCTGCGGCTGACATTCAAAACTTGAATAGGTTTTTGTCAGAGACAAGGACAACATGTTGAGCATCATACACAGTGGTGGGGCAAAAGTAGGTCTACAGTTGTGAGTATGTGAAAAACAGTGCTTATTCTTGTATTATTATGTATTAATTTTTTTATCAATTATTGTTTTAATTTCCAAAGGAACATTGTAAACCTTTTGCCCCACCCTGTATAAATGTTAGCCTTTCCAAAGAAGCATGTTCCCATCCTCAAAACACCTAGCTTCCTGGCAAAATCTCATTCATTTTAAGGCCCAGCTGCAGAGTTAGACCAGACAACTGGGAAAATATTAAGTGCAAATCAAGTTCAGTATTGAGATGTTTAGTACACGAAGTGCTCTGAGGAGCAGGACTGTGCTTAAGAACACAGCATATGGGGAAAGGGGCAAATCCCAGCTCTGTGTGTTACTTGCTACTCTGGGTGACCTGTCAGGTTGCTTAAATTCTCTGAGCCTCAGGTTACTCATCATTAAAATGGGAACAATGGCCCAGGGTGGTGGGAAGGAATAAGGAGGCCACCGGAGAAGCACCTGGCACAGGAGCAGTCAACAAATGTTTGTTTTCGTCATAAGAAAACACTGAAACCTTCCCCAAAACGAATGGGCAAAAGATGTGAACTAAAAAGTCGCAAGTAGGAAATACAACTAATAAGCAAGCAGCTGGGAAACGCTTATCTCCTTTAATAGCAGAGGAAACGCTCATGAACGCAGGGTGCCACCCCTTATTAAATTAACAAAAACATTTTCGACTGATCATTCCTGATGCAGTGGAGGGTGTGGCCACTGAGTGGCCCACATTGTTAGTGGCTGTGTAATTCCCACTGTTGTGGAAAGCAATTTGCCAGTTCCTGTCATCACACAAACATGTTCATACCCTTTGACCCAGACACTTCCTAAGGAAGTCATTCAAACACGGAAAAAGCTATCTGCACAATGCTGCCTGTGCCGGCACTGTTCATCATGGTGAGAAAGGTGCGTTTCTCTTCTGTTCCCCTAGAGCACGGTGGGGAACGTCCAGCCCGTGGGCTGTATAAGGCTCAGGAAATCATTTGGTCTGGCCCTGCCAAGGCATTAGGGTGAGCTAATTAAATGTTTGACCAAGTGTAGCAGGCTAATTTTTAAGTTGATAATTTTGTATGGCCCTCAAATGATGTTATAAATATCCAGAAAAAAGGTTCCCCACCCCTGAAAAGGGTAAAACCACCGTAAGAAATACAGGCTGGGTGGTGTCAGCCCTTTCAGGCCAGTAATGCCATTGTTGTTGTTTTTTTGGGGGGGGGTGTTAATTCCCTAAACTTTGTTATAATTCTTAGTGGATTGTATTTCTTTGGAAAAGCTTTCAGAGCTCTACTAACTGATGGTCGAACTGATAGATTTAAAATTAGCTTCTAACATCTGTTCGTCCTCTGGTGAAACCAAAGGGTAAGAAAAAGGGAAGAATACCCTCTCGTCTGTACACGAGATTTAAAATCTGCTTGGGGAAGCGAAGAAGACAGTATGTTGTGTTGAAGGTTCTTTCTCTAAGTCCTGGCCTACAGCACAGACCCACCGAGGGAGGAGTGAGAACCGAGCCGCCTGCGGTGGTGAGCAGCGAGCCTGGGCTGCTTGCTGGGCAGAGCTGTGCATGAATGTGAGCAGCCAGGGGGTGAGTCACTTCCTGGGTCACAGCTGCATCTGTGTGCTTTGTGGTGCAGGACCCCCGCCACACCTCCGCCTCCGGAAGGCAGCAATGTGCAGAGACAACCGGCCGGAGCTGTGCCTTCTGCCACCGGGTCCTCGAATGGTGAGGGCTTCTGGCTGCTAAGCTGCCGGGGGAAGAGGGGGGTGGGGGGAGGCCGGGCCTGGGATAATGCCTCCAGTGAGAGTGGGCGTCAACTCGCTGACCAGCTGCCAGAGCCACTGGCCCAGTTACAGAACCCGCAGACCTCAGGGCTGGGCACATAGCCCAGCCTCCCTCCCATTTACAAGTCCCTGTGGCTGTGGTTCTCCACTGGGGACAGCATCAAAGTCACCGGGCAGATGTTTAAATCATGCACACGCCTCAGCCCCACCTACTGTGACATCCTTGCCAGGGTGGAGCCTGGGAGGAATTCTTGTTTACATCTCCCGGGTGATCCTGATGGGCCCCTGGGTGAGAATCTCTGCTACAGCACAGGGAGGGGGGTCTGTCCTGAGGGCTCCTGGGAACACTGCCAGGTGGGATAGTGTTACGCACCCTGTCCACCAGCTCCCTACCACCACTCCCCTGGGGTGAGGAAAATTCCCTGTTGGGTCCCCCCTCTGCTCCCTGGTCCCACCAGAAATAAACCTTATCCCACACCTCAGGGCTTACTTCTCCCATCACTTGGCATGAAATCTTCAAGTTATAAATCGTGCACACAGACATAAAACCCTATGTAGACATCCGTGATGCTTTGGAAATGCTCATTGGAGCAGCTGTTGGCCCATGTGAATTCAGCATCATTTATTTGAAGCTTCCATGAACTGGGGCCAAAGCCTGGCTAATTACCTTGGGAAGGTCAGGAGCAAGGAGGGCAGAGCTGTTTGGCAGCTGCTGTTACACGCACGTAATGGACTAATAGAAGCAGATGAGGAGGCTGACAGACTGGGGTTTCCTGAAAGAAAGCATTCCCCACGGGAACCGCACTCGTCATAAGTGTTCCATTGAGTTTCTGCCTCCCCCTCCCCCCAAGGGACACAGCAGGGTGTGTGTGCTAACATCTACTGGTGTCACCTGGTGAGCTCAGGACCTTAAACCACCATGTCCGTCATCAGCTCTGACTCTAAACACAAGGAGCACTGATGTGCTTCCTCCCCGTCATCCCAGCCCACTGTTTGTATTTCTAGAATTAAACCTAGATTCTGAATTTTTTTTAGGTTTTATTAAATATAAAAATTTTTTATGCTTAAAGAACATTTTCATCAAGCATTCAAGGTACTAAATGTTTCTCTTCCAAATTCCTAGCATAGACCTAGAGGGACCAGTGTTCTAGACTAAATATACTTTTCTCTGATGGACAAGATGGAGAGAGAAGCACAACCAAGTATAAAATCAGACCTAATAGTGAAGCTACTGCTGGGGAGGGAGGAGGCAGACATGAGTTACAAACTGCAATCTCGGTCAGTGCCGTAATAGTCCCCCAGGAATGAATTGAGCAGAGGGCTCCTCTTTGCTCTTTCAGCAGGAGCTCTCTCAGGTGGGGTGTTCCTTGTAAAGCTTGCTGATGGACAGGATGCTGCAGGGCATTTGCAGGGTGGTGTGTTTGCATGCAGGTAAATGGCATAGACGCTGCATGCAAATGCTTATCCCTTTGTGTTGTTTCTGCGGCAGGACTGGATTTAAGCCACTAAGACTGTCTTCTCAAGTAGAGTTGCCCTGAGCTGTTACATTTGGCAGGAAGATTTCAGCGCACAGAGACGCTTAAGAGGCAGAAAAAGAAAGTCGTGTTGGACTGAACTCACTTGACTGAGATCCAAGTTTCCCACTTTGGAGAGCAGATGTTCAGAGGCCCCAGCGGAGGGGGTGGAGAGAGAAAATGGGGTGTGAGGAAGTGTGACTCAGGAGGACAGAGTGTTTTTCCAAGGGGAGGGGAAAGGCTTGGCTTCCCAGCCCCAACCCCACAGGCACAGCGAGACCTGCACGCTCGTGCCAAGCAGCACCTCATACCCTCCCTGGGAATCGGTCTCAGTCCTGCCTCACCCGCTCGGGCCAGGATCCCTTGGGCATGGTGCCTCCACACGAGGAATGAGCACCTTCCCCCGGGGGCTATTACTGTACCCACGGGCTGAGCGAGAGCTTTAAGAATGTTAGTGGGATTCCTTTGGAGGAGTTAGGATTTCTGTGAAGGAGGGAGACTGAAGCAACAGGTCAGAGGAAGCAGCTGGTAAATGACAATTGTAGGGCATCTTTCTGATGCCTCCTGGTGGCCTGTACTGATAAAATTAAGCTCAGATGTCCCCCAGCCTCTAGACCAGTGGTTCTCAACCTGTGGGTCGCGACCCCTCTGGGGGTCGGACGACCCTTTCACAGGGATCGCCTAAGACCATCGGAAAACACATATATAATTACATATTGTTTTTGTAATTAATCACTATGCTTTAATTATGTTCAATTTGTAACAATGAAATTGGGGGTCACCACAACATGAGGAACTATATTAAAGGGTCGCGGCATTAGGAAGGTTGAGAACCACTGATCTAGACCCATAAACCTGGGACAAAATCCTCTTTATGGATCTTGGGATACAGTCTGTTTGCACTTTGAAAGTCGAAGCCATGTGACCCATAGTGGCATACAGCACAGCTTCTTCCCCGCTAAGAACTGATTGTGAAACATGAATATGAAAAAAGCTCCAATTTTATAATTCCAAACTTTAAATTTCTATACTGTGTATGTATGATGATTAGATATTATCCTCTGCGGAACAAACATTCACTTTTTAAAAAAACACAGTATTTCCTCTTTTTTAAAAAATATATTGTTATTGATTTCAGAGAGGAAGGGAAAGGGAGAGAGATAAACATCAATGATGAGAGAGAATCATTGATCAGCTGCCTCTTGCACATCCCCTACTGGGGATTGAGCCCGCGACTCAGGCATGTGCCCTTAACCGGAATTGAACCCAGACCCTTCAGTCCTGGTTGATGCTCTATCCACTGAGCCAAACCAGCTAAGGCCAAACAGATTCACTTTTAATGTTTGGAAACGATGTCCTTATCAGGCTAAACTGCACTGGGTACCACTTCTCAGGGGGAAGCTCACAGACAGGCAGAGGGGACCCCTGGGAGGACGACATGCCCCTGCTGTACCGTCCAGGCTGACATAAGAAACGCGACATGTCCCCTTTACCAATACGCTCACTGTCTCTATTCAAAGTCTACTGACGATTCATGGGGTCTATGCACCTTTTTAGGAAGCAAACCCTGGAGAAGAAAGGCCACAGAAGGACCAGCTGTGGAGGGCTTCCCATTGCCCTTCAGGAAAAGGCACCTCATCCAGACTCACTTCTCAGTAAGTTGAGGGGGCTGGGGCTGTGGGTACTGTCTTCAAGGTCCTTCCCTGTGGGGTCTGCTCATGGTGGGCACCAGCTTGCCATTGGCCACTCGGGTCTGCTCATGGTGGGCACCAGCTTGCCATTGGCCACTCCAAATAGCACTGCCTAGGCTGTTTGAAATGAATAAAACTAAAAAAAAAAAGACCGTACCCTTTTATGTAATGATGTTTACTTTGAATTTATATTAGTTCACACAAACACTCCATCCATGCTTTTGTTTCGGCCCTCCGGTCCAGTTTAAGAACCCATTGTAGCCCTCGAGTCAAAAAGTTTGCCCACCCCTGGCCTAGGCTGCGGTGTTGCATGTTTTTTTTTTTAATGTAAAGAATTAAAAATAAATGATTTAAAGATGTAGTCAGGTAGGTGAATGTGCCCACACCTATTTCTGGCCAACACCTCAGGACTGCATAGACTAGGTCCCTGGGTGGCCTCAAGGATGTGTCACCCCATCCAGCACAACCCACGTGTACACCTATAAGTTTCCCGCCGCGCGAGATCTGCTGCCCACTTGTCCATGCACGTGTCAGAGAAGCACAGACAGTCAGAGCTGGGAGGAGACCCAGAAAGCACAGGGAATGGAATTCAATGGTGTTTAGTCCTAGGAGCCTTCTTCAATGCGAATGGAAGCAGAACATCCTCTGGCAGCTTTGCCCTGGGTGGGGAAGAGGCAGGGCCGGGCCTGCCTGCTCAGGCAGCTCCTGAGTGTGACCATCACCCCCAAGCCTCATCTACCCCATTTACACATGACGAACCGGAGCCAGAGAGCGAACAAGGATTATGCTCAGAGAGCTTACCTTCATACAGCCTGTTAGCCAAGAGCCGTTTCCCAACTCACTGTTCTGTCACATTTAGTTCTATTTGTTCTCTGTAGATGATATATTTTGTGATAATAAATATAGGTTTCATTGAACACTTATATACCAGATGCTGTAACAGAGTAGAGCTTTTCGAAGTGTGGTCGAAGGCCTCTGGGAGTCCCTGAGACCCTTGCCGGGACCATGAGGTCCTCTCCTTTCTAACTATACTGTATATGGCTGCAAGGCCAATATTGCAACAGACTGAATGGAGATGCAGCTATGGAACCCTGCTGTCTTCTATTAACCCAGATAGTCAAGATACTTGCCAAGACATAAAGCATGCCACTCTTCTAATTTCAAAAAGTTAGCTTTTGTTAAAAAGATGTTCTGTTAATATGAAATGGATTATTGTCATTTTAAATGATACCATAAGTAAAATATTTTTTAGATACTTGTTAAAAACAACTTTTTTAAGCCTCAGACTACCCATTCAGTCTTGGAGAGATCTGAGTGATTCAAGCAAAAATGATTTTAAGTTTATCTATAGATATTTCTCTACCCACCCATCTGCAGCTGACTGTTGAGGACAGCTCTTCTTCAGTGCAGGGGGACATTCCACCACAGGTACAGAAAATGGTGTATATCATGGTAGACGGCAGGACAAACCACCTCAGCAGAAGTTCTCTAGGGCCCTCAATTTTATGTGTGTAGAAGGGTTATGAAATCAAAAGTTTGAGAACTGTTGACATAGTATATATAATTTAACTGTACAACACCCATGGAAGGTAGGAATTATCTTTAGGGATAAGGAAATGGTGGCTCAGAAAAATTAAGTGACTTGCCAGGTCAAAGAGGTGGTGTATCATTACCTACTGCTGGGTAACAGGGGACCCCAAAACTTAGTGACTCAGAACAACCAATACTTACTAGCATGTTTCTGTGGGTCAGGAATCTGGGAGCAGCTCACCTGGGTAGTTCGGGCTCAGCGTCTCTCACCAGGCTGCAGTTAAGGTGCTGGCCAGCACTGATGTCATCTGAAGGCTTGACTGGGCCTGAGATTCTGCTGCCAAGATGGTCACTCACAGGGCCATTGGTTGCTAGAATGTCACTAAGACATGGTAGCCAGCTTCCCCAGAGCAAGGGATCCACAAGAAAGAACAAGACTGGAAATGTCAATATCCTTTATGACCTGATTTTGGAAGTTATCCACCATCACTACTGCTTTATTCTCTCTGTTAGAAGTGAGTCACTAATCCAGCCCACCTCTTGAACAACATGTCAAGAATATGTGGAAAACAAAACAAAAGAATATGTGGAGCCCTAGCTGGTTTGGCTCAGTGGTAGAGCATCGGCCTGCGACTGGGGGGTCCCAGGTTCAATTCCAGTCAAGGGCACATGTCTGGGTTGCTGGCTCAATCCCCAGTGGGGGGGCGTGCAGGAGGCGGCCGATCAATGATTCTCTCTCATCATTGATGTTTCGATCTCTCCCTCTCCCTTTCTCTCTGATATAAAAATATATTTTTTAAAAAGACCCAGTAACTTTTCTTCCTATATTCTTCAAAGTAACCCAACCCTGTTACTCTTTATAAAACATTGCGCTCGAGCACGCATGCATACACACACACACACACACACACACAAAAGAATATGTGAACACATGTCCACCCATCCAGCGAAGGGGCAGAGGCAGGCCTCAACTTCAGGCCTGTCTGAATCTCTCACTCTCTAACTGTGCAACACAGCCTTCCCAGGGTAAGTCCCTGTCCTCTGTTTGTAATTTCCTTGGGTTCAGGATCAAGAAGGCACTCAATAACTATGCACTGAGTGAGGTTCGGGGAAGAAAAGAGTCCTTTCTAGAGCTCCTCCCACTTGTGACTTACACTTGGAAAGACCAAGTCCCCGACAAGTGAACTCATGGATGCAGTGGCTGCTAGCACTGGCAGAGGCTGTGTCCCGGAGCTGAGATGCGGCTTGGACACCCGAGCCTGCCGTGCTCACCTGCCTGGCCCAGGCTCCCACCCCGTGGCATCCCCTGGAGCATCCCACTGCCGAGCAGGTTCTAGACCTGCACCAGACACACGCTCTCCACCACTGGCCTCGGGTGGCACTGGCGAGGGCACAGCTGATTCAAGTTCCTACCTGAGTTTATGAACTGACTTGGGGAAAACCATCTTTCCAACCGCCTGGGTGACAAAACACGAGCTCCTGGCCCACAGCAGGGGCTGAGAAGAGAATGTGGATCTCCTGGGGCAAATCTGGAAAAATGACTAAATGCAAGATCGTCTGATAACTCAGAGGGCCAAATTCTCACAGGCCCACCTGTTCCGCAGGCCTTTACCAAGCACCCACGAGTGCTAGGCAAATGGAGGCTCTCTTATCAGAACACCTCTCCGCTGTCAGGAAGGGACCCTGAATGTCACTCCTGAGCTGGCAACTCCCTTGGTAACCGCGGGGAAGTTAAGTACTGTGGTGTCTAGTGCAGACCTGGCCCGGTTAGAGCTCTGCTCGCCACACCACATTGTATGGCTACGACCGAGACTCACACTTCCTTGGTGTAACGGGTTTCTTCAGGTCCCGATACAGGACTCAGCGGCTCTTCTGCTCCCGGCGCTGGGCTGCAGAGCAACACCTGCGAGAACTGTGGCACTAGGACTCCCAACTGCCCCAGGGAGCCTCCAAAGGGGTCAGAAGTGGGGACAGCTGTTGTTCCCAGGCAATGAGTCTTATTTTTAATCTTTCCTGTTTAGCAGGCAATGAGTCTTATTTTTAATCTTTCCTGTTTAGAATTTCATTACAGATACGACACCCCGGGACAGAATTACTTAAATCATGGCGAAGGAAGAGCCTTTGTGCAGTTTCGCTTTTTAAATGAAAATAAGAATTCTCCACCTTGTAAGTACACCTCCTCCATGATCCCATCTTTGTGAACAACCCAGTCTCTCTCCCAGGCCTGGGAGACCCACACTGCTCCTTCCTCTCCTGTCTGCTACTCCTGAGGGGGAGTGAAGCCTCGCTCCTAGAGACCAGTGGGTAAGACAGGAGGCCTGGAAGGAGAAAGAGGGGAAGGTAGAGGACGGAGGAGTGACTTTAATACACGTATCTTCTGTTTAGTCTCTAATTTCTAGAATTGTCCTAGTGGACTTAATTTCTGACTCTTAGAACCCTAAGTCGGAGGGGACTTCAGAAATCCAAGTGGGTCAACCTCTTGGGAGATATTACCCCTCCACCTTCAGATGAAGTCGTTGAGCCCAGAAAAGTTAGACCACATGCCCAGGTCGCACGGCTAGCACCCAGGGAACCTAGACTCCTGGTCTCTTGTCTGCTAATAATTCCTTTTAAAAATGGAATTTATTTCCTGAATTCTCTGACTTCAAAATACTTGATACAAAGTTCTTTGTTTCCTATGTTCCCCAATTTTCTTATTTATTAATTTTTTATCAAATGTTTCATTCACATAGAGAAGTTCAGAAAATGATTCCCACATATCCACGATTTGGGGATCGTTTCTGATGCTCTGAATTTAATCAGAACCAACATTTTCCAGCTTATTCAAAACCAAACTGGATCTGTTCCCAGAGAGCAAATTCAAAATCCTCTCAAGATGAGCGTGAGCCCAAACTAGGAAAGTAAGTATCACTTTCTCATTAGTAATGATGACAAGAATGGCTACCCATTGGTTGGGTGCATACTATGTGCTTAATGCATTAAATTACCTCCCCAAGATCATCTAGATTCTAGATCCTAAGTAGGAGAGCCGGATTCAAATGGAAGTCTGGCTAAGACGTCAGTCTTTCATGTGTTCACTCACCACGTTATCTGCGTGTCCACAGCAGGCGCTGTGCTAGCTGCTGAACACAGTGACAGAGTGGACCCTGTCCCTGACTCAGGGAGCTCACTTTTTGGGAAGAGGAGGCTGTGTGTGAGTGCCAAGAAGAGGTCACTCAAAGTGCTATTATCTAATATGGGGGTTCAGGGAAGCTCAACTCCAAAGATTAAATATGAATGAGCTAGCAAGGGAAACAGGGGGAAGAGAGACCCTTCCAGTCTACGTGGGCTTCCGATGTGGGAAGGCCCTGATGTAGGAAACTCGGCTGCGGTCATCCACCAAGGCACTGTGACAGCGGCAACACGGAGGGTGCCGGCCTCTACCAGCACACAGGCGCCCTGCACCCCAGAGCTGAGGGGGGCGCTTCACACGAGTATCCCTGTGCTTTTGCCTTCCAGAAAAAACCTTAAGGCTCCCATGACCTCCACTTCAGACCTGGCTACATCCTCCCCCCATTTCCACTCTGGCAGGGTTTCTGGAAGCAAATCCTTAAGCGACGTTAGCAGTGATGAAGAAACGAAATCTGAGGTGAGGACTCAGAAAAACATTCTAGAATCCTCGCAGCTTGTAAGTTTGGTCTTGCTGACCACAAAATTGATGGCTTCTAAATTATTACAGTATGGAGCACCCCAAATGCTCTACTAACAACAGTGTGTGCTCAGCACTAGCCTAAAGACACAGGGCCTGAGCAGCCACGTGGTGTGTGCTACTCCTAAACTGGTTCCCAGGGAAACGTTGTGGGCAGTGCCTCAGCTACAGGATCCCCTGGCCGCTCACAGGACTGTTCCACCGACACTGGGCTTACAGACGCTAGCCACATATTTTTTTCCAGTCAGAAACTCGAATCCCAGGCCACTTCCCAAGGCTTGTGCACGCATGCGTGGTATCCCTGCCCTCTCAGTGGTCATGTCCCCCAGTCCCCTTCTGTGGCCCCAAGAACTTTCCTTTTCTCAGATTTCTTTCTCGACAGCAGGGAATGGGCCCAGCAGGTTTCTGACCTCACCCTCTGATTCATGCTCATCAGTCACGTGTCAGTCCTTTTTCTGTCCCTTGCCCTAAAAAATACCTTCCATCTCCGACTGGTTTCCTAGGAAACCAACTCTCAAAAACAGAAACAGACCTGGAGGAAAAAACAGAAACAGACCGGGTGGAAAAAAGAGCACTCCCAATTCCACCTGGCAGTGTGTGATGACAGAACTCAGTTAACAGGAACAGTGGCAAACGTGTATGACTAAAATGTGCGCACTTGTCCTTCACAGGGTTTAGCCGCGTCTCTGGACCATGCCCTGAGGACAGCAAACATTCTGAAAGAAACAACTGATCAAATGATCAGAACTATTGCAGAAGATCTCGCCAAACTACAGAGATGGAGGAATCGATTGAAATACTAGTTTGATGCAAGGTGACTGGGGATTTGAGAAACAAAGAAAGGCAAAGAAAACTTAATCTTCCCCTCAAATTATTTTACTTATTACACAATTTAGAAGGATAAATTTCTAGAGAAAATGCCAAAACCATAAGAAATGGGGAGCACAACGGTACTTAAACGAGAAAAAAGGGACCTCTGATTCTTATACTCAAATCAACAAGTATTTATTTTAAAATAAATCTGTTATTCCTAACACATAATAAAAGAAATTAAAACATACTTTTAGTTATTAGTATGGCAAAAAAAAAAAGTTGGAAAACCCAGTATCAGTGAGGCTGGGGGAGACAGGTACTCTCAGGCACTGATGCTGGAAGTATAAATTGGTGCAAATTCTATCAAATTCGACATGCACTTGACCTCGAGCAGCAATTCCACCACTAGCTGTTTACTTCACAGGTGACTCACCCAACAGGCCATGGTATGTGAGGGAGGATGGCCATGCGGCACAGATGGGAACAGACCCAACTGGAACTAATCTAAACACCCAATGTGGCCATTCAGAAACAAAGATGTCAGTCATACAATTAAGCCTCTGCAGCCAGTGAAAAGAATGAGGTGGGTTAACCTTCAAGATAGTGTGAGGGGGGAAGCACGATGCCTAATGATGCACGGGTGTGATCTTTCATGTATGGTCTTCAAAGGGCACACACACCACTGGAAAGCACACAGAAACACCGAGTGGGCCTAGGAAGAGGAACCGGGAGTTCTGTGGGGAAGTGGAGGGACTTTACATTGACTTTCTGTAGTTCTTACAAAATTCTCATAAATCATTTGGTTGAAGATCTCTTGAAGCCAGAAATACACAAAAATGACAGTCCTAGCTCTAGGTTCATGAAATTTGGGACAAAAGTGAAGACAATTCATTATAACGGTGTAGTCAGTGGTTCTTTCCCTCTTTCCTAGGGCCTCCATTCACTCCAAAGTCAAGAAATGGCTTTCCGCTCCCAGGTTGTGCTCCGGGGGAAGAGCTGGATCGTTCCCACAGAGAGGGTTCTGTGCTGACCACGCAGCTGGAGAAGGGGTTATTTTTAACTCTGGGGCTTGGAAATGAGTTTTGGTGCCTTGCGGGAGAGAGAGAGAGCAGAGGCCAGACTCAAGACTCCTCTGACTTTGTGGCCAAGTTCACATTAGGCTGCGGCACTGTGAGGAAGAGTCAAGACTGTTGGTTGAATTTTAAGAGGAAAAAAATGGGGCTTAAACTGTATACGTGCTCAGGGGCTTCTAGCTTCATCACAGACCTAAACTCATCACAGCTTGAGAACCTGTTTGTGCACCAAGCATCGCCACCCTGTCCCCAAGTTAAAAATCACACGACTCTCTGGCTTAAGGTGTTCTTAAGCGACGCGTTGTTTCTTGACCTTTCTGGGGTTCAAACCTCTCTGAGATCTGATGAAACCTGTGGAGCCTCCCTCCCTATGCGTCACTCTCCCACGAAAAAGCGACACGTGAACAGGAACAACTTGGCACCCAGTTTTCACAAGTCCACGGGCACTGAACAAGCCCATGGAACTCCGGGTAGAAAGCAGCACCATCAATGACCTTCCTGACCCCTCGCATTACCCTTTAGAGGAGCTCACTGCTGAAATCATTTTTATTTAAAAACAGAACCCACCTCTGCAGTATGTAGCCATATTCTAGATGTAATTTCTCATCTCCTTGATGACTGAGGGCATTAGCAACAGTCACTGCACCATGACTCATCCAAGGCACAGAAGTAGGGCAACCGCCTTCAGGCTTCTGCGGAAGTGCTACAGGCTCTGATTTACAAAGATAATGTGAGATTTACTGATGCTGTAGCTTTGGCTGTGGCCTCCCTCACGCAACTTCTTTGTGCCAATGCTGATAGACCTCTCTTCTAATCCTGCTGCAGGAATAAGCCAGAAAAACAAGCTTGTTAAGCGACAGTGATTGTATCTCCAAATGCTGAGTCACAGGCTCAGGACTGCTGGGGGCAGGGGTGTTGTAAAGACACTTGGCACCCTCCACAGCATAGAGGCCTCTGTGCTTGCTTCCTGCTTGAGGCACCAGGACCAAGACAGCTGGGTGAGGGGACAGCTTGTAGAATGCTATCACCTCTTTAGAAGTTCTAGCCATCCACTTTAACTACAGAGTACATATATGAAAACGCATCCTTTTACTATTCATTCCAATTCAATCTTATTGTTAATAATTACTTAAAATATACCTAATACATACTAAATATGAATATATATGTATCTATATTTAATACCCAAGTGTTTGGTAGTAAAACTTTGCCATAGAACGTATTTCTTGCTCCTTTGATTTTAAAAGAAATTGGCCTGGCCCTAGCTGGTTTGGCTCAGTGCATCGGCCTGCAGACTGAAGGGTCCTGAGTTTGATTCTGGTCAAGGGTACATGCCCAGGTTGCGGGCTCAGTCCCCAGTGGGGGCATGCGGAAGGCAGCCAATCGATGATTCTTTCTCATCATTGATGTTTTTCTCTCTCTCCCTCTCTGAAATCAATAAAAATATATTTAAAAAATAAAAAATAAATCGGCCTGCATCCTGATGGGAGTCATGAGGGGTACCAGACACCCACACCACAGCTGAGTTACAGAGGCATCACATCTAACAACATAGACTGCCAGGATCTTGGCCTTCGGGCTTGAATCCAAAAATTTTTGTGTCGTGAACTACTGATATTTTTCTTCGTTCTTGTGACTATGGCTGAGCAATGTGAATCCACTATACTTCGCAGACCAAGCACACTTCAACAGGAAGCAAAACCATGCTTCAGAGATAGTGAATCAATGTGTTAGCTGCAAGAACAAAAAAGGTTTTTTTCAGGGTCTTGAAATCAGAATCTGTACATGCTAAGTCTAAGGAATTTAGGTGAGATGACCTCTTATGTCTTCAAGTTCACTGAGAGACTTAGAAAACAAAGGGTCTCTTCAATGCTAAGCCTAAAATATACCTGCAGTGCAGGCCTCACAGGATCTCCCATCAGTACAAAAGGCAAAGTGATCACTGAGGGCTAAGTGACCGACTCAACGGGCAGTGTCTGCTGCCATCACACCGGAGTTCCATCTGTCACAGGGCAATGTCTTCGTCTAAATCTCTGTGCCACTTACCGTTGAGTCTGCAAAACTTCATTTTCAGCCTTTCATGCCCTGTGGGATGGGATGGAGAGGCATGGGACCTAAAGCCAAGAGCTAAGAGCTAATATCTAGCATACATTCTCACACTAAAATCAATTCCAGATGGATGGAATACCTGCAAAAAATAAAATGAATACATCAAAATGTCCTAGAAGAAACAACGCGAGACTTAATCTTGGGTGCAAAGGGTATTTCTAGGTACAACATAAAATTCAGACACCAAGAAAAAGTGATAGATTTATCTACATAAAAATTAAAAATGGTGCATCATATTTTAAATACTTTCAGCAGTTATGTCATTGCTAAAAATTTACGTTATAGAAATATTGTGGAAGCCTGCAATGAAGCATTATTTGTAAGAGCAAAACTCTGAAGACGAGTGATGTATGAAATGATGGTCCGTCACATGACAGAACCAAGAGGCCAGGTAAAAGGACAGGTTTAAAAGGAAGACGTTCCCTTTGTGTAACGCGTACTTTGTGGGGAAGCACGGGACTTGGTTGGAATGTCTGTAAGGAGGATTCTCTGAAAGGTCGGGGGCCTCTGGGGAACCTTGACAAAGGCAGCAGCCCCTACCTTGACTTTTCCAAACAAGTCTGATCCCCCGAGGTGTTTTGCTAGAATCTCTATGTTTAGTCTTTAAAGACCCAACCTTGTAGGAGCATATACTTTCTCAAGGATACTTACCCTGCTGGTTGTATCTAGAGGTTAATTTTAGTTCAAGCTGTTGTGACAATAAAAGCCTAAGAGGGCAGGTGAAGAGGACTGCTTTTTACTTCTAAAAACAGTCCCTTGGACTTTCTTTCACAGAAACATGTGTCAGAGCAATCCGTTCATCCGTCGCTCAGGTCTGCTGCTCAGCCCCAGCAGTACTTTATATATGTTAACACGTTCCATTTGTGCAGACATATCCTTATACGGTCATGGGCCACATAATGATGTTGCAGTCAACAACCACATATACGACAGTGCTCCCATGAGATTATACTGGAACTGAAAAATTACCATCACCTAGGACAGTGGTCAGCAAACCAGGGCTCGGCAAACTGCGTCTCGTGAGCCACACGCGGCTCTTTGGCCCCTTGAGTGTGGCTCTTCCACAAAATACCTGCTCTTCCACAAAATACCGACTTCTGCGCATGGGCCACGAAGTTTCAATCTCACTGTACGTGCGCACCCCTATGTGGTATTTTGTGGAAGAGCCACACTCAAGGGGCCAAAGAGCCTCATGTGGCTCACGAGCCGCGGTTTGCCGACCATGGACCTAGGACATGACAGCACAATTCATGACTCATGTTTGTGGTGATGCTGGTGTAAACAAACCTACTGCACTGCCACTTGTATAAAAGTATAGCATATGTAATTATATATAATACCTAATACTTGATAATAATAAGCAACTGTTGCTGGTTTATGTATTTATACTTTTTAAAATATATATTTTTTTATTGATTTCAAAGAGGAAGGGAGAGGGAGAGATAGAAGCATCAAAGATGAGAGAGAATCATTGATTGGCTGCCTCTTGCCACCCCCTACTGAGGATCAAGCCTGCAACCTAGGCATGTGCCCTTGATTGGGAATCGAACCATGACCTCCTGGTTCATAGGCTGATGCTCAACCACTGAACCACACCGGCTGGGCTGCATTTATACTTTTTATTGTTATCTTAGAGTATATTTTTTCTTTTCTATTCATAAAAAATTTCACCCTGGCTGATGTGGCTCAGTTGGTTGAGAGTCATCCCATGCACTGAAAGGTCACTGGTTCCATTCCCAGTCAGGGCATATACCCAGGGTTTTGGGTTTGATCCCCAGTTGGGGTGGGTACAGGAGGCAACTGATTGATGTTTCTCTCTCGCATTGATGTTTCTCTTTCTCTCCCTTCCTCTCTTTCTAAAACCAATGAAAACATTTTTTAAAAAGTTTGCTGTAAAGCAGCATGTTGTGTATGCCAGCAGCAGCCTCGTACATCTTGTGTTTAGCGTGTCTCTCAATTGCATCCTTTTCTCTTCTGCTTGATTTAATCTCATGTTGTACAGGCTTGTAGCCTGGGAACGATAGGCTACACCATACAAGCCAGGTGTGCAGCAGGCTGTGTGTAA